AAATGCTTTTGGGAGGCTTATGTGTTACTGTGTCCAGGTAAGCAGGCTTGTACTTTCCCAGCATTGATTGTGACTTCTTCCCACCTTCTCCCAATGAACTATTTCTGTATTTGTGTAAATATGGCACATATTTATATTTTCCTTTGATTTTATCTTTAGCACTGCAACTGTTAGATGTTTTACTTTCTACTTTATCTTCCTTGTTCTTTCTCTCTTCTCCAGTTAAAGACACAATTACCACAATATGCTCAGGCACACTGATATGGCTATGCTTCCCTGCCTCCTTATTGTCCCTAGGCCAATTTTGTTTAAGAGAAATAGAACTAGAGTCATGTATATAACACTAATATAATATAATTATATAGTAATATAATGGTTAATATATACATGTGTAATGCTATAATATCTATTAATTGGCTTAAATTTATTTAATTCAATATAGCAAAAATTTTGTTGTTTCCATACATAACTATCATAAAAATATTTTATTAGGATTCCCGTTGTGATTGGGGGGGAGGACTTTGTGTTTTGGGACGGGGTCTCTCTGTAAGTCATGGGCAGCTTTTAGCTTTCACTGGTTCTCTGTCCTCAGCTTAGCTCAGCACTTGTCCTGGGACCCAGGTTTGCACCTCTGTGGTCTGCCATCACAATATTAATGAGGCATTTTACATTTTCTTTTTGAGAGTAAGTTCCTGGAACCTGCTGTGTATCTTATATTTGTCACACATATCACTTCAAGCTTCAAAAAGATGAAACAGTAAATGATTCTCAGGGTGTGGGGGGAACACATCCTGTTTTGATTTTAGAATTGATTTAAGTCAATAAAATTAAATGCTTAGTGTCTTGGATTGTACTAGCCACATTTCCTAGTCACCATGTCCCCACCTTTTCAGTTGTAGAAGCTTCCTGATCACAAGTGCTTGGTCCCTTGAGAGATAGATTCTGGAGAGCCCGTTCTGTTGGCTCAGGGTTAGAGGAAATCCTGGCAATAATTTTGAAAGCACAATTGCAAGTTAGCTGACATTTGCTAAGCCCCCATGATGTGCTAGGCCCTGATGAAATAACAAGGATAACCATAGCAACAGGTAAGGCTTCATAAGTGCTTATGTGTGCCACAGCCTGAGCTAAGCAAGGCAAGTATCTTTATTAGTTCCATTTTACCTGTAGACTGACGAACAAAACCAGGATGCGTTTTTTTCCCATTTCACTAGACTTTGGGAAATTGACTTCATTTCTCAGAGTCTCAGTTTACTCATCTATAATTCCTCTAAGGGACCATCAAGGTGCTTGGTGGGCCTTAGGATTATTAGAGATTATATATATGTCACCCCTCTGTACGACCATGGCCACCCTAACTGTTTCAATATTGGAATGCCCTCTGTCAGCCAATAGAACACTTTTTCCAGCCCTTTCCCCTTGCTGCCATCCTGCCTGTCCTACAGGAGCCTTCTGAACCTGACATTGAAAGGGCTTCGGCACCTAATCTGATGGTTAGGGTCTGTGTCCTGTCAGTCACCCCATTTTTTTCATTATCCCTGTCTTTGATGAGGGCACAAGCTGGGAGGGGTCTTGGGCAAAAAAGGGGAAAATGATAAGGACTATAAAGAAAATGAAGAACCATAAAGTATACAGTGGTTAACGGTGGGATAGTTGGGCTCAGATGCGTCAGAAAGCCTGACCTCAGGCCAATTAGAGCACCCTGTGGATAGTGGATAGCATCTGGACCATCACTTCATCACTGGAGTGTTTTGTCTCTTCTGTGTGTGTGTGTGTGTGTGTGCGCGCGCGCGCGCGTGCGCGAGCGCGCGCACATATGCATGTGTGCTCACCTGTGCATACTTATATGGAGGCCACTACCCCACTGCAACTCCTCCTGGAACCCCACATCCTCCTCTCAACTTTATCATCATATCTCCTTCCTCTTCTTCAACCCATGAGTCCACTGAGTGCTGCCCATATTGCATGGGTGTAGGGCCACCCACTGGAGCATGGGCAACCTACCTGGGCTCATATCTCCCTCCTTTAGCAGCCATCACTTGCCAAGAGTTCCTCAGCTTGGGGTGGGGCCTCGTGAACTTCTCCCCTATTCATGCTGGAGTCTCATCTTATTTTTTGAGATAGGGTCTCTCATTGAACTTAAGAGCTTACCATTTCAGTTAGACTGGCTACCCAGTGAGTCCCTGGAAGCCATCTGTTTCTGCTCCCCAGCCCAGGGGTATAGGCATGTACCACTAGGCTTGGCTTTCTATGACGTTGCTGGACATCAAACTCTGGTCACTGTGCTTATGCAGCAAGTCTCTTACTCAATGAGTCATCTCCCCAGCCCTGTCTTTTTATTTATTCTTTTTATTCACTCTTTCTAGTTCTGTCTAGTTCAGGCCTTCTCAATAATCCTTTGCCTAAACATTCACAGAAGTTTTATAGTTGAATACTATAGTTGAACAATCAATCGCCTGCATATGATTGTTCTAGAATCCACCCTGTGGCTCTCTTATTATGGGGAAATCTTTAGTGGGTACCTAAGGCCCCATCTCCTCGTGGAGGCATCCATGACTTACTATCATCACCTTGACAACCTGACAAATGAGACGCTCCCTCTCCATCCTTGCTTTGCTGATTAGAATCTGTGGAGTCTTCTCACAGGCTTTCAGTACCTCTTCAAATATGCTTTCCTTACTCAGAATTCCATCTGTGTTCCTTCCCTCTTCAGTCCCTTCTGTTGCTCCGAATTCAAGTGTAGGGTAGCATGACCAAATAACTAAGGTGTATTGATAGTGTACATATATGCCCAGTGCTCTGTTAAGAGTTTTACATGTGTAGTAAATGTTTCTTCTCACAAAGCTCTGAGAGGTAGGCACTATTACTATCTCTGTAATCAAATGAAAAGACTGAATTAAAGAGAGGCAAAATAACTTTCTAAAGTGTACTTAAGCAAGTGAAAAGTGGAGCTAGGATTCTGACCCCAGTAGCCTGTTCTTGCAAGCATTGTTTTACAGTGATTTAAAAGCTCTCAAACTTGTTTCCATTGACTGTCAGAGTCTGGTGAGGCCTGAGGATGTGATCCTTCCAAGATGCTTCAAAGCCTTATTAGGAATATCTGGGTGCCTGTGAAACTCTACTATTTTCAGGTTTACCAGAAAATTTGGGTAGGAATGGAGTTGATTCCTTTGACTTTTTAAAAATAAAATCAGATTAATGTCATACACCTTTAGTTCCAGCACTGGGGAGGCAGAGGCAGGTGGATCTCTGAGTTCAAGGCCAGCTAGTTCCAGGATAGCCAGAACTACACAGGGAAATCCTGTCTCAAAAAACAAAACAAATAAATAAATAAATAAATAAATAAATAAATATTTAAAAGAAATGCTGATTAAAAGAAATAAAGCTTTGGGGCTGGAAAGATGGCTTAGTCATTAAGAGCACCGGTTGCTCTTCTGGAGGTCTTGAGTTCAATTTCCAGCAGCCACACTGTGGCTCAGAACCATCTATAATGAGATCCTGTGCCCTCTTCTGTCCTGCAGACATGTGGGAAGACAGAGCACTCATCTACATAAACAAATACATTTAAAAAAAAAAAAAGAAAAAGAAAAGAAAGAAAGCTTTGAAAGACCCAGGTCCTGGTCCTGCCCATGGTCATTAGCCAACTCACTGAGTCCACTCAAGATGGATTGTCAGCAAGCTGTGTTAGACAGGAGCACAGAATATCACTGCACAGTTAGTTGTCTTAAGTACCACTTATTATGTGGCATTGATAAATGTACCCACGAAATGCACTATACCTGATATACTCTGTGTCCCCTGAATAGGTCATTTATAATGCAGCAGGCTCTATCAGAACCTCACTGAGTTGCTCTCCTGTGGCCAAGCTTATATCTCACTAGTATTTTTTTTTTTTTTTTAATCTACATAAACACATTGCTTGGAGAAACCCTAATATGGTATCAGGTCAACTTTGCACACAGACTCCATGAAAGTTATACTTCATTTTATGGTGTTTGAGAGTTGTCATTTGTTGTAGGTATATACGGGATTTCTCCTTTTTAGAATTAAAACTAAAAGACTATGAGGTAATTTACAAAATACGATCTTGTGGCCCTTTTGCCAGGTACTTTTAAGACTCAGTGGATGAACACCCTTCCCCATAGTATAAGCTTGACATAAAACAAATTTACAACATCATTATGGGAACCCAAGACTTCTCTGTATTTTTAGAACTTAGATTTCCCCCAAGTGTGGATTACTCAGTTACTTTGTTAAACAAATAAACAAAACCAACCAAACAAGCAAACACTGCAGAGAAGTAGATAGCATCTTCTATTTATTCCATTTAATCTGTGTGACAACTGAGAATTTAGGGAACGGAGTGAAAGATGCCAGCTTTAGGTGAGAACCAATGACTTTGTGCTTGAACACTGCTCCTTGATAAGTCAGAAGCTTGGGAATTTCTAGAACCTCCCCTTTTGTTTGTGGTCAAATGCTAAGAGTATGACACTAATGGGAAAGGAGCCGACTCCAAAATAATATCTCAACTACCTCCTACTGTTTGTCGTTCAGGGTTGCCCCAGTCTTGTATAGCCATAGCTCCCATTCCTGCCAAGAAATGGTGTGAGTAGATTCGAGTAGATTCTGACACTCAAAACGAAAGAAAATTCCAATAGTTCGGGTCTAATGAGTTTGGCCAAAACAGCTCACAAATCGGAATCCCTGATGACAGACAGTTCTATGGGACTCACTTACCCTTCGCCTTTACCTCGGATCCCAAATCCCACCGCACTTGGTCCCTGGGCTGCCTGCGATCGCCCCCTTTAAGAGCTTGCTCCGCGGGACTAACGTTTGAACCGGCCCTGGCGCCCCTCCTCCGCCTCCGATTGGCTGGGGGCGGCGCACGAGGCGCATCGGCCCGCCCAGAACGGTTGGCGGCGCTTTGTGATTGGCGTCCGAGGAGTCTATATAAGGCGCTGTGTGGGCTCGCTCTGCTCAGTTTAGCGGCCATCCCAGATCAGATTTGTTGTCAGAGGCGAAGAGGAGGAGGGGACTGCGCGTCACCGGGTCTTTTCTCCACCGAGCTTTCAGCCGCCAAAGGTGAACCCCAGAGGCGAACCTGCTTCCGCTTGCTTCTCCTCTCCCAGCTTCGGAACGCGAGCAGGCGTTCACCCCATCTTCTAGGCGCCACACTCGAGAAGCGGAGGCAGGATGGAGTTCAAGCTGGAGGCTCACCGTATCGTCAGCATCTCCCTTGGCAAGATCTACAACTCGCGGGTCCAGCGCGGCGGCATCAAGCTGCACAAGAACCTCTTGGTGTCGTTGGTGCTGCGCAGCGCCCGCCAGGTCTACCTGAGTGACCCATGCCCTGGTCTCTACCTGGCCGGCCCTTCTGGCATCCCGACGGTGCCGCCGCCCCAACAGCCCGGAGAGCCGGTGGCCGGGCCACCCTCCGGCTGGGGAGAGCCGCCCCCGCCGTCTGCCCGCGCCGCCTGGCCGGAGCCCGAGCCGCAGCCGCAGCCTCAGCGCCCTTCGGTGTGCCACACGCCGGGAGCGGGAAGCTCCGTGCCGGTGGCCGCAGCGGCCGGAGCGGAGGACGCTGTCCGAGGGGGAGAGGCAGACTCGGCGGCGGCAGCTGCTTGGGGCCGCGTGGAGCGTCCGCGCGCGGTGGCTTCTGGAGGCGGCTTGGACACGTGCCCCGAGGGGTCCCGGGCAGTGCGGCGCCCGTGCGGATGTCCCCCGGCCCGGGAGGAGCAGCCGACCGAGGACGGTTCTCCCGCGCCACCCGCCCCATGTCCCAGGAAGCGCGGCGCAGCGGGAGTAGGTGGTGGCCGCGCTGGCTGCCCGGCGCCCGGCTCGACCCCTCTCAAGAAGCCGCGCCGGAACTCGGAGGAGCAGCCGAGCACCGGCAAGGAGGAGGACACCGACGAGGAGATGGAGACCGGGAACGTGGCAAACCTCATCACCATCTTCGGGTCTAGCTTCTCGGGACTCCTACGGAAAAGCCCTGCGACCGGCCGGGAGGAAGAGGAGGCGGAAGAGAGCGGCCCGGAAGCCGCCGAGCCCGGGCAGATCTGCTGCGACAAGCCGGTGCTGAGAGACATGAGCCCCTGGAGCACAGCCATCGTGGCCTTCTGAGTCCCCGGGGCCCGTGCGGCTGGAGCTTGAGCAGCGAGCGTCCCCGAAGTACGGCCGTGGCCTCTCCCGGCCTCGAGGACGAGCCGAGACCGTAGGCGCTGGGCGCGTAGGGGAGACTGGTTGCTGCCGGGCAGCATAGCGCCCCGGACGGGGCAGCCCGGCTGGGCCGTGGCTCTCGAGTCTCACGCAGAGACCTAGAGTTGGAGGCTTATCGGAAGAGGACGATCGATCGTTAAATTTTGTGTCTGTGTGTGTCTGTGTGTACGTTTGTCTTGTGTTGAGACTGTTCTGTGGTTCTGGAATGCACCACCCCTTCCCCGGGGCTTGAGACTTTTGGGGGCGCAGACAGGGACTTTCCTCTGCCAGCAGCACAGAAAAGGAAGCTGCTGAAATGCTCGAGGCAGGGGAGTTCCCCGTTCGATCTTCGGGGAGAGAGGGACTTTACACACTCTCCTGAAAGCTAGAACCTCACCGGCGCGCGGAGTGGCGTTTCCTCATAGGATTTCCTCAGACTAGAGGGAGTTCGCCTGGAGTAGAGACTTGTATTATTTTTCTCCCTCCCTCCCTCCCTTTCTCTGGCACAGAAGAAGCGCTTCTACCCTGTGATTACTCTGGGACAGCAGAACATTAAGGGACCTTCGATTCCCCAAAGGGGAAAAAAAGCTTGGTGAACTTCACAGAAGAGTTCAAGCTTGGAAATACGGAGTTTATAGAGAAAAGATATATTTTTAAAAGCTCTAGCTCAGAACTTACTACACAGTGCTTTTAAAAAGTGTTTAATGAAACAAAGTTTACAGGCGAGCTCTAAGTGGAAGGACCTTATGGTTTTGTAGATACGGTACTCCAGTCTTTGTTGTATAAAGGTTGGGGGAGCTGATAAGGTTTTTGTACAGTATTTTCTCCTCCTCTGTATTGATTTTTGTATAAAAATGTAACTTTACGTGTCTAACACGTATTAAATATTTTGAAGCAACTCCATTGCCTGCTTGTATGTAATCACCTGTCTGGGTTTTCAACTAAGTAGGGGGAGGGGCAGCCATGCTGGGAAATGGAAGGTGTGGTTCTTAGTATCAGTCATTGACAGACTAGGGACATTGTTGGTTGTCTTAAGTATCAAGAGACACATCCAAGGTTTTTTATTTGTTTTTTTTTTTTTTTTTTTTCACACACATCCCCATCTCAGAGGACTGCTGATAGATACAGGTATCAGTCACCGGCAGGTTCTTGAAACCTGCCACCACAACTGCCTTTTCTATAGTCATCACAGGCTAGTTTGCTTTTCTATAGTCTGCTTGGAATCTTTACTATTAAATAATTTCAAGGACCAAGTTTTAAAGCCATATCCTCAGATGCTTCCACCAAAACTTCATTTCTGTCGCCTGTTAATTTATAGACCATGGATCATTTTTTAGATTTGAAGTGGGGGGGGGGTGAATAACAACTTACTTCAGAAGTCTATTAGGACCAAACATGAAGAAACCAGTGAGACTGCCTTATATCTAAATGTTCAGACTCATCTCTGTGTTCCACTAGATGTCAAGATTTATATTTCACTTTTTTTCTAGTTTAGTTGTAGAAAGTAAATGCATTGGTGAAAGTGAAATTATATCAAGCCAGAGGAGGAAGGAGGTCAAGGAGGGTTGGGTAAAAATTTAATTCTCATTTAGACCAACTTCCTGATTTGTTCTTGTCACCTACATGATGACATAAGTGTTTTGGTCTTGATACACAGATGGCAGCCAAGTCAATTTAAAGAGACCGTTTTGTCTAATGTGAAACATTTCAGTATTTTCGAGGTAGTGATCTCAGGAGCAAGCCAAGCCAATTACAGACTGGGTTTGAAAACATAATTGCTGCTACTTGAAAATATAGCACCAGTTTCTAGCTGACTAGAGTGCTTAAGAGACAGGAGAAACTGAGGAAAGAGACAAAGGCTGTGTAGCGAGCCGGTAGACAAAAGGAGCATGTGATGGAATGAATGCCTTGGCCCTAGCTTAAGTTCTAATTCCATGAACTGTCACAGTGGAGGAGGCAGTTGCTTTCCTCTTTCTGTGAGACTCTGACAGGGGAGCTGTTGGCTTCCTTCTCCACCACGATTATATATACATAGCGTAAAAGTGAGGTGTTATGAAATTGCCTTGTTTTTCTTTTAGACATTAGCTACTTAAGCTCTATTATAACTACTAAGGATCCATTAAGTGGATCTTAAACTGAAGGTGTCTAGGGCCTTAATTCTGCAAACATTTCCTGTTACTAGAATGCAGTTATGCTTGAACAGCTGTCTCAGTGTGCTTATATTTAAAAGGGGTAACATTTGGTGTGTTCATTTTAGATGAGACTAAGGTCCCTCTTCATCCATGGTTTCACAGGAAGTTGAACTGTGGGACTATGTGTCTGCTTAATTTAGAGAATATAAATTGGAAAAAGTTACTACAGCATCTTTTTGTTGCACAAACTAAACAGTGTAACAGCATGGGCTCTGGAGCCAGGATGCCTAGGTTTTCATACCTTGGTCTTGTCACTTCTCTCTGAATTCTTGGTGTTGCTTCAACTCTTGTTTTTTTTTTTTTTTTTTTTTTTTTTTGTTCTGTTTTGTTTTTCAAGTGTAAAAGTAGGATAATTGTACTTACCTCATAAAGTTGTAAAAATTACTGAGTTAATGGTCTTGGAAAATACTTCATACCTGCAGGGCAAGGTGACACATACAGGTAATCCCCTGCACTTGGGAAGTTGAGTCAGGAGGTCCTCCAGTTTGAAGCTAGTCAAGGCTACACACTGAGAACCTGTCTCAGACTCAAACAAGTAACTTCTACTTGGGAAGCACTCAATTGTTGTTATCGTTGCCATAGAAGTGAATTATGTGTATAACTCAGATGCTGGGCTAAGAGAATTGTGTGCATTTGTAGGGAAGGAGAAAAAGGAGCTTTCTATTTTTAAATGATCCTATCAGCAAGTGTGGGTCCTTTTGTTCTTTTTCCCCTCTGGGCTCTGGCAGGCATGAAGCTTTGCTCCACCAGCAGCTTATAGATGTGTCTGTCTCACACCAACCCTGTGACTTTCTTGGATTTTATCAGTTCTATTTTCAGGAAGGAGTAAACAGGAGTAAAAACTTGAAAAGAACAAATTCCTGTTGACATACAAATGCTTCCAGTGATAAGTAAGGGGATAAATAAAAAATATATTTAACTCTAATTGCTGGGCATAAAATGTTTATTAAGCCACACTTGTTGCTAGGCCTAGACATCTTGATGCTCAGGCAGGATTACCAGAATTGGATAAGGTACAGTGTGACTAGAAACTATTTTGAGTTATCTATCTAGCCTTTTTGAATGGGGACCACAGTCTCCAGTCTGTTCATTAAATTAATGATTCTGGCATTAGAAACTGAACCCAGGACCCCAAACATGTTAGATGGTCATCCTACCACTGAGCTGGACCCCCAAGTTGAAAACTTAACAGCTATGTAAAAGCCAGGTGATTAAAGGGTTTGGGGGGCAGGCTTGGTGGCACATGCATTTAATTCCAGAATTCAAGAGGCAGAGGCAGGCAGATCTCTTGTGAGTTTGAGGACAGTCTGATCTATATAGCAAGCCCAAGCTCCAGGACAGCCACAGATACATAGAACAGGTCTCAAAAAAAAAAAAAAAAAGGACTCCAAGAAGATCACATTAATGGAGAATAAGTAAAGTTGCTTCCCAACTATGAACTATGTTATGTTCAGAAACCATCCTTTGGATTTGGGGAAAACCACTAATGATGGGAAGCTTGAATTGCTACTCCAAAATGCCTTGCTTCTTTCTCTCTGTGGCTTGTAACAGTGTTTCCCTTCCTTCCACTGATGGTAGAGTAGGTTTAGAATGGGGAGTTGTAGGGGATGTACCTTTTAACTTCTTTGGCGGAGCATTCAGAATAAAACATGTTAGTATTGGGAATGAAGTTAATGACAGAACTGACCCCGTTTTATCCTAGCTCTCTTCTTCCACGTACTTGGTGTAACAATTTTGCTTAGAGCCAGTATGTGGTGGTCTAAAGCCTCATACTGTGGCATAGAATGTGACAGAAATTTATTTCTTTATAGTTATTATTATTTTTTTTAGTAGAGTTAGTTCAGTTCACTGAATATCCAAGGGATTTCTGGTCTTTTGCCCTAAATATTTTATTCTTGTCCTGTTTGTGAAATTTTCATTCTCCTAGACTCCCTTTTATCCCAGCAGTTCCTAAAAGAAGATGAGATGAAAAGAAATGCTGATCCAACCTTCCATGACTATGAAAGGAGCCTTTACTGTGAGATGCAGTACTCCAGTAGGGAGTGAGGTTGGCTTCCCAGGATTCCTGGCACTCTGTCCAGTAATGAGCAGTTTGTCTCTCAGCCTTTGAACTATTGTTCAAATTAAAAGTTCTACCCAGTGGAAAGCTTTGAGAGCAAAAACAGTAGAAGCAGAGTTGGTGTTAGGCCTCACTTCTATCTTAATTCATGCCCTTGGACTTTTTCAATAATATTTCTTTCTTTTTTGTTTCCTTCAGAGACAGGGTTTCTCTGTGTAGCCCTGACTGTCCTGCAACTTACTTTCTAGACCAGGCTGGCCTTGAACTCACCGAAAACAACCTGCTTCTGCCTTCCAAGTGTTGGGACTAAAGGTGTGTGCCATCACCACTTGGCTAGTGATAAATAATAAGGGTACATTAGGGAAAGAATATGAAAGCTACGAGTGCAAAATATACACATCTAGCTGAATGCCTCCTTCCTTATTCGGTTTTTCCCTATGTGTGCCACCAGCCCCTTCCATGATGGGAATGAAGATTTTAAAAATAAAAAGCCTCTCTAGCAATTTCCCTGTCCCAGAGGGATATAGCCCAAATCATCTTTGCTGGACTGCATCCTGGGGTTTGTCTCAGGCCTTTGGAATCCTACAGGCAGAGAAGCAGAAGCCTCTGGAGACTGCATTCCTAAAAAGGCCTCTCTCCCCTCCCTTCCCTCCCTCCCCTTCCCTCCCTCCCCTCCCTCCCCTCCATCCCCTTCCTCTCTCCCCTCTCTGTAGACCCACAGCAGTGTGCACCACTGGATGCTGCCCACTTAGGAACTAGTCCTGGCTGTCATCTGTGGAAGCTGTAGAAAGAACAACAGGCTTTCACTAGCATAGCCACTTAGCATCTCTAGCGGGTGACTTAGGGACAGGGTAAGCCTATGATGCTTGTGGGTAAACCTAGACTTATTAAGCATTTTCTATGATATGTTTTGAGACCTGGTCACCACACCTGTGTCATAAGCCACATCCCTAACTTACAGAAGGTGAGAATTAGCTGTCCCTGACTCCTTTAACCAAGCTTAACCCTGGCCCCAGTTCTCTGCTTTCCTTCTATCAGTTGGACCTCTGCCAGCTTTCCCTGCCCCTAAGGCAAGGCTCCTTTCAGTTATTTGAGTACTGGGGGTATGCTGAAAGTCCTGTTCCCAACTGCTTATTCTTCCATCCATTCTCTCCCCCACCACACCCCCACCCCCACCCCTGCCTAGCAGGGCATCAGTGGGGAGCTTGCTTGTTCTGAGGCAACAAAAGAAAACAAAAGCAAAACCAAATTAAACCATTCTCTTCAACTCAGCAAACCTGGGTTCCATGGACTCCAAACACTAAGGTGGGAGATGCCCAGGCTGCTTTTCATTTTGATTCCCTTCTTGCAGCCCGGATAACCATGCAGCAGGGCTTCTCCAAGTTGCTACTAACTGAGGACATCCTCTTGACTTCCCAGCACATATCCTCGTATCCCCTCTGCAGGGATCTCTGCTCTCGTTTGTCTGTCTGGTCTTCCTAGGCCACCTCACTGTGAGGGGACTTGGTTTGAGGAAGCATCTGACTGCTCAGGGAAGAAGAGCTCTCTGATTTGGGAAAGTGACAGCCCACCAAAAAAAAAAAAAAAAAAAAAAAAAAAAAAAGGAAAGGCTAATATTTCTTGACCATCAAACTTGCAAAGAGTCTCTCAAAACTCTGGATGCTGGAGATCAAGCCACAGCTGTGCTGGCTGAAAGTTGTCATCCTTTCTCTGTGCCTCACCAGATCCCCAATCCCTGCATAATAGCAGGGGTGGGCAGGGGAGTCTACTCACTGGAAACAGGAGCAGCAGCTGAAAGCCTGCTTGGCTGGTGGCCAGGTGCAGCCAAGGAGAGGCAAAGCCAGGGAAGCCCACACGTGGGCTCCACAGTCTCTCCTCCAGCCTTTGCTGGGACTGCATGTGCTGCTTTATAGAACAGATAATGAATCTCAGAACCACTTGGATGGAGAAATCCAAAAGGCCTCTTTGCCTCATCCCCCCCCCCACCTTTAGTCTTGGATGGATCAATAGAGGCTTTTTACAGGGAGAGTGGCTAGAAGTAGGAGAAGGGAGCCGTTATTTGCATCATGCAGCAAGAGTCCTACTAGCAGGAACTCACTAGCTTGTGAGTCCAGGGTTTCAGGGAGTGGGCAGTCACGGTGAGGAATTGCCACTGAGTCAAGTTCTCTGAGAGAGGTCTGCTGTGGGCCAAGTGAATTTAGGACAAGCACGCTCCGCCCACCTTCTTCTCCCTGGCTTTTCTTAAGCTGTACCTCTTTTTTTTCAGACAGTTTCCAAGTTTTATTTTTGGTTTGGAAAAGGGTGAAAATTCCTTGACATCTGCATTCAGCAGCTCCCTTCCCCCACAATGTGACCTACTTTAGAGACTAGAGTGACTTTTATTTTTACGGCCATGGGAGAAATCGCTAAAAGCAAAGAAGCTGAAGTCCAGGGACTTGGGACAGTGCGTGGGGGGGAGGGAGGTTACTGCCCTATGATTCCTATGGGTGTCCCCTAGCTCTTATCTCCAGACTCTTTTAAAGGATGCTTTCTTAGTGACACTGTGGGGACAGCTGTAAAGATATGCATGTGGGTGACTCTGGTGTGGGCTGGCCCAGCTGTCTGCTTCACAGCCCCCTAGTCACCTCAGCAGCAGGCATCTGGCCTCCCAAGGTGATGCTTGCTCCTGCTCTTGGGGCTCCTGAATGCCCACATGAGTAAAAAGGAGAGAGTTGCTTCTCAGGCAGGACAGAATAAATGAGGTCACCAGCAAGCAAGTTGTACATCTTGAGTATTCTAGTGAGACCTCAAGTAAAAGATTTCAAAGTCACCCCCACCTGATGCCGTGAGACCCTTCTGAAGAAGGGACTAGGAACTCGAAACTGAAAAATGTGACTCAACTCAGGAAGACACTCATTTCTCTTGGTTTCTATTTGTGTGTGTGCTTTATAATTGTGATTAAAAGATAAATACTTTGTGAGGCAAAGTTAAAAATATGCTTAATGAAGGCACATACCTTTAATCCCAGCACTTGGGAGGCAGAGGCAGGTGGATCTCTGAATTCAAGGCTAGCCTGGTCTACAGTGTGAGTTCCAGGGCAGCCAGGACTACACAGACAGAGAAACCCTGTCTCAAAAATAAACAAAACCCCAAACCAAAAACTAACAAAACAAAGCAAAGTAGACATTAGGCAAAACACATAAAATAAAAGATAAGGACTTTTTTTTTTTTAATTAAAACAAAAAAGCAGACATTTCTACTGATCTCACAATCAAATATGAATTTCTCAGCTTTAGGTTACTGGCTCCTTCTTGCCATTCCTTCCTCCATATGCTGCCCCCAGCCATATGGAATGATTTACAGTTTGAGAAACATTCCTGCAGGCTTCTGGACCTTTCTATATATCTTCCTCATGGGGATGTGGTCAAGTTAGCTATAGTCCTCAGAGCTATGAGAGTAAAAAATCCTGCTTGCTTTGGCAGCATATAGACTAAAACTGGAATAATACAGAGAAGATTAGCATGGCCCCTGCTCACGGATGACATTCCAAATTGTGAAGTGTTACATATTTAAAAAGAAAAGGAGCCCCAGGGAGAAGGGGGGAGCAGAAAGCTGAGGCCGAGTGATGAGAGAGCCTAGAAGCAGGGGCTGGTGCAGGCAGAGGCTACCATCAAAGGGAGCAAGAGAGCAGAACCAGGCTACTTACTGCCACGGGAGGAGAATCATAGAGAGGTCACAGAAGACAAGGGACAAAGAAAATTTCACTGAGCCAAAGCTGTCATGGGTGAAATTTAGCAGGTTCTGGTAGAAGATGAGAGAGAGAAAGGAGATTAGAGAGTGAGTGGAGGGACAGCTGTGGAGGTCCTGGCTCTAACTTCCTTCTCCCTTTGAACAGGCCTAAAAGTAAACAAGGACTAAGGTGGCAGAAAGGAGCTGAGGCCAACTGAAAAGGCTTGTATATGCCTTAAGCAGAACCAATGGAGGAAGGAACATTATGTATGTATGTATATGTATATATGTGATGTATACATATACATATATATACATATATATGTATATATATATATATATATATCTAAATATGTGTCTTAGCAGGAGGAATAAGCACCTTCTAGTCTGCCTTCTGTAAACTATCAGAAATACTGATAAATTACTCCAGGGAACTTGTTAGTTTCAGCCTACAGTCTCTTCTTCACTCCCAATTGATGAAGACCCTTGCAGTTTATACTCCAACATACCAGTTGTCGAGGTAACAAACTGCTATAGGATTCTGGAAAATAAAGGGATGGTTTCCCAGAGCCCTAGTGCCACCATGCCTAAAGAGAGAGGTTTCTGATGTATCATCCCCTAAATACGTTAAGAGTTTAAGACATTGGAATGTTAGTATGTTCCATGAAGAAGGCAACAGTTGGTTTTCTCACCTGCAGAAAACACACATATGTACACTTGGTATGCCCACACGTGAGTGTGCACATGCTTGTAGTTATTCCCATTCAGAAAGCCCGGCATGAGTGAAATTTTCTCTCCCTTTCCATGCCACTAAGTCTGACCTCATCTGTCTTTTTCAGTGTTGTGGAGGATTAGTTGGAGACTGGAAACAGGTTGAGACATGTCCAACCAAGAGGCTCTGGGTACTGAGGAGAGGGAGGGGAAGCAAGCAGTTTTAGGTCGGTTAAGGCAACTAGAAGGACGGTAAGGAGAGGGAAGGGGGAGTAGGGGAGAGGGGCGTGGACGGATGGGAAAGGCAAGAGAGACAGATGTCCGTGATGATTTCAAGAGAAACAAGACTAAAATAAGCTCAGAGTCAGAAAACAGACGGGATGTGAGAAGTAGGAAAAGGTAACGGACTGAACTGCAGAGAGGGTGAGAAAAACGTCCCGCTCAGGTGGGGAAATAGCCAGGCCCTTCAGAGAGAGCATAGGACAAAATGTCAAAGAAGGGTTAAGTCCTCTTGGTAATGGGGTCATTTCCTGTGAAAATTATGACAGTGATTTACAAACCTCTTCACTCCTAGACTTCTGCCTCAGCATTTTAAAAAGCTAGGGTGAGGTCTGTACGTGCTTAGCCCACCCAGAAACAAAATGAAACCTAGAGCCCAAGTTCCTCCAGTCTGTATGCTTTCTGTCTTCATTAGCTGAAGCTATTTATTTCTAAAAACAAACAGATCATCTCCTCTCCCAGATTCTACTGTCTGCATCCAAGGCCTTCTCCTGGATTTTGTCTGGTTCTCCTACTCATACCCCTTCTCAGTACCAGGATTACAGCAGAGTTCATCTCTCCCCTGCCTTCCTGCTGTAGCTCATTCCCGTGCCTGCTTTCCAGTTTCTACTGTCGCCACCCCTGACTTTAAACACTTAAGTCAGTCTGTTTTCCTTTCTGCCTCAACACTCTGCCCCCCAAGCTCTATAATAACTAAGAGGTTACTCATCCTACAGAGTAATTTGGTGATATTATCAGTCTCTGGCATCCCATATCCTTCTGTCGGTTGGTCAGTCTCTCATTCAACCATCACTTACTGCCTAGTCTATGCAGGAACTGGATACAAAGATGAATAAGGAACTTGATGTCTAGACAGGAGGAAAGATACAAATATTGATTGTTACAATCCCAGTTGAATATTATAATGGTACAGGAATTTGATGAGGGATGCTTAGCCTTGCTAAGGCTGTGTGTGTGTGTGTTATTTTTATAGTGATTTCCCATGGAATCAGCTAAATTGGGAGCATAGAGAAGAATCTTTTCAGACTGATAAGAGTTGCATTTACAAAGGTCCCGAGGCCAGGAGAGTTGGAGCGGTGTTGCCTCAAATGCTTCATTCTGATCAGTGTATGAACGGGGAGTGGAGCATAGACTCACAGATTAAGAATGATCAGATTACCAAAAGTTAGGTGTGCCAGAGGGGGAATATGCTTTCATCTTAAAAGATGGTGGAATGCTTGCCTAAAAACAGAAGTGGCCCTGGGAGTCAAGGAAGGCTTTGAAGAAAGAGGGACTCAATTGGATACACATCTAGGTCTAATGCTACCTGAAACCAGGAGTTAGGATAGGGAGGGAGAGAGGAGCAGAAAGGGGCAGCTAGAGGCTGGCGGGTATTCCAGGGAGGAAGCTGGTGGTTTACAATCCTAGCATGGGAGGCAAACGCAGGAGGATCAGTTTGGCACCAGCCTGGGCTAACTAGTTAGACCAGTCTATTTATTTAAAAATTTTTGTCTCATTTCATGTGTGGCTGTGGGTCTGCCACAACATGGATAGGGAGAAGTCAGTGGGAGCCCATTCTTCTCTTCCACAATGGTTTTGGGGACCAACCCTATCCCTGAGGCTTGGAGCTGTTTGATGGCCTTGAGACCTTTTTTTTCTTTTTTTTTCTTTTTTTAAAGAAAGTGAGAAATTATACAGGTGAGAAATTATTGAGCCCAAAATCCAAAGTGGAATCTACTGTATTTTGTAATGTTTTTCAGGACATTGGTTCTGTGTTTTTTTTTGTTTTTTTGTTTTGTTTTGTTTTTTTTTTTTTTTTTTTTGAGGCAGGGTTTCTTTGTGTAACCGCTGAGGCTGTCCTGGAAGTCTCTCTGTAGACCGGACTGGCCTTGAACTCATAGAGATCCTCCTGCCTCTGCTGGGAGTAGAGGTGTGTGCCATCACTGTCCAGGCTCAGGGACATGTTTGATGTCTGGAAATTTTTACCTCTCCTTCTAAACCAAATTATCAAGTCTGTGAAGGCAGCAATAGCTAGCTAGCTACGTTGCGCCTTTCTGTGACAAGAGTGGTGTTGATGTCATCGGAAGCAGAGGAAGTGAACAAACTGAGGACTAGTCTACTAGCAGTAGGCAGGAGGCTGCTGGAGTGCAAAGGGAGGAATGTGGGGGTTCTTTCACGCAGCCCTACACTTCCTGCAGCCCAGCTGGGTTCCCACTCCAGGTTCTGAGAAGCAAGTTCTGAGTCACCCGCTTCTTTCCTAGCTCCTCTCTAGCAGAGAGAGCAGAGAGATCCAAAGGACATAGGCTGTGGGAAGAGGGAGCGTTAGAGCACACTGTATTCTTTCTCCTTCCAACAAAGAGCAGGGGTGACAGTGGTCTTGGTAATGGTCTTCCTCTTACTCCTGGGACCCTGGTCATGCTAGGGATGGAATTTCACTTGAAAGGCAGAAGGAGGCTGGTGGAATTAGTCCCAAGAAGCTGGGAAGGAGGAGGGCTTGGGGAAGGCTCTGTCCTCTCCTGCAGGGAGTAGACTCGAATTAGTTAAACCGCTTCTCTGGTTGCAGCTTTAGGCTCTCTCTCCAGTAATTGCTTGTTTACTCACTTTCCGGATCTCAGAGGCTGTTGGACTCCTGCTGCTCTGGGAGCTGTGGGCTTACCTGACCCCTCCTCTTTTCCACCTTTTTCTCTGAATAGAACCCGCTGGGAAGGAACAAAGACCAGAGTTCAAGTCCTAATGAGGTCTCCAGTGAGGTAGAGGTGGTAGTGTTCATTCAGTGCCAGGCAGGGAGAAGCTCAAATCCCTGAGCCAGACCTTAAATTGGCTGTTGGCCGGGTGCTTGGAATGAGTACCCTGGGGAGGTGGGCAGGCCCGGGGAACTCAGTTTCTGGGCGAGGGGCTCTAAAGTACAAACACCCCTGCTGAGCCCATTTCTCTTTTCCCTCCTTTAGAGAGAGTATTTGAGGCTTGCGATGTGATAAACCCTTGAAAAGCGGTGTGGATTAAAGATGTGATAAACACAAGTATGCAAATCGCACCCACAAAGAAAACAGAAGATAGTCGAATCTTCCCACCAGACGGTTAACGGTAAGGGCTTGTACTGTTGCTCACGGGAGGGGACAGATGCTTGTTCCTTCATTAATGGAGGTCATTATCTGCATTCCTATTGTGAGGGATGCTCACGTACCCAGTTCAGAAAGTCTGTGCCTTAGGAGGCCAGGGATTCTGGGAAAGCACTGACCTAGGAGTAAGACCTCGAAAGCCAAAGGTGTGCACTTTTTAGCTTTTAATTAAGGCGCATTTTCACTTACTCACAAATGGTTAGGGCTGTAATATACCTACCCTTGTGAGACCCCAGGTCTAACAAACAAAGGCAATTTACTATGGGCGTGTGAATATGAACCTAATTGAAGAGTTTCCTATTGCTTCCTTAGGGACTTGAGTTCCTTTAGGACTCTGCCTTGCTCTCTAAGCTGGATTCTCTTCTTTGACCAGAGCCCAAGGGAGGCCACCAGAGCAGAGAAATGAAGAGCTTATCTCCAATGGCATCTGGGCTACATCCACCCTTCCTTCCCTCCACTGCACCCTTAACTCCAGAAGTACTCCAGCTCCCTCCAGACATTATCTCCCTGATTCCTCCGCCTAGACTGACCTCCCCTCCTACCTGCTGAGTCAATTAGTCCCAGAAGACACTTCTGTAATTATCTGCTCCTGTGTTTCTTCCCCTGACCTGGCTGCGCCCTCCCTACATCTGAACCACATTCATCTTTCTACCCTGAGAATCTGGCACTGACTTGGGACTGACTGGCTGTTGTTTGGGGCGACTCAGGTCCTGCTTGGCTCATTCGGGCCGACTCTCAATTATTTAATTTTTCTTA